CTGAAAGAAAGAAAAAAAAAAAAAGGTTTTTGATTCATCCTGCTGATACTACAGCAGCTGAATACTTCAGTTGCAACAAGTTATTATGTATATAATAATAAAGGTAGAAAAGGGAAGAGATTTCAGGTTGTTTTGTTTTTTTTACTAGCTGTAATTTAGCTGTTTCATGACAGGAAAAATACAAAAAAGCAAGACTTTAGTTAGAGCCCCAGCTGCATAAACAAGATCACTTCAAGCTTCCACTCATTTATTTATTCTTCCACAGATCAGTTCTTTGATTTATATAAAGATCTTATTCTTGTAAGCATGCTTATGCCCTGTGGAAGTATTTTTTAAAAGTAAGTTTAGTAGCTCAATATTTGAGTTGTAGGAAAGCGTTTTGAGAAATTACGTGGAGGATATTACTGTGAAAAGGAAATAATAACATTTTAAGTTGCAGTTGTCTTCCTACAGTTAATATGTATGTATGAGCTCCTTATAAACATAGGGAGCCTACGCTGAATAAATGCTGTGTAAATAAAAGCACTCTTTATGGATAAGAGGTTTCTGTATCGCTTTTGGAGTGACACTGAGGTCGTAGCAGCAGTTTTAGAGCACAGCTCCCAGTGAGGTGTTACACTTCTCCTGACACACAGTTTTTCAGGCTCGAAGGTGAGCAGTGGCTTTTGCTACTGAAGCAGGATGTGAGGGGCTTGGGGTTTTTGTCTGTCTGTTTTTCCTACAAGACGTGAAGTGGGCAAAGGGCAAAGGAGAGGGAGATGCAGGGTAATGTGCAGGTATTTATAACGCTGCATTTTGCTCTTTCTTACCCTCTGATTTTTTCTGATTAGATCAACACTCCTGTATTCTGAGCAGCCTTCAGCAAGGAGGAAATTCCAGTCTCAGTAAGTATGTTTAAGTCCCTATTTCTGCTAGGTTGCAGCAATAATAAACTAGAAAACCTGATTCAAAATTGATGAAACAATTGAAACACTAAATAAGGACTTAGAATAAAGTCTTGTTCACAGTCTAAAATAGAATGTTCATACCGTGAACAACTTATATATAAGATATATCTAAATCTTATATATAAAAATATAAAGTTATGTAATACTTCACATTTTCACATGAATCTAAAATGACAAAAATTAAAAATAACTTTAGAAGACAAATTGCTACTACTATCTAGGGGCTGCACTTTAAATGTATTTAATTCTTGTTTAATCGAGATTCAGGCTGATCCTGGCAAGATAAAATACCAAGTAGAAGGGCGGTCTAACCATATTTCTGGTCTGAAATGTAATGAGAATTAGTAGAGGTTTGAGTTGTATTCACAAATGCTGCCAATTCGTTGTTTTGTGACCTTGGGAACAATCTTCCTCTCACCTAATTTTAAGTATCTTAAGGTTAATGTCATAGATCATCTTTAGCTGTCTTCTACTCTTGACTCTAGAGGAAACAAAAAATGACACTTTAGACTGAATGGTAACTTTTAAATAATTAAAATCATGCAATGATGCTATTTTTGATTTTCTGTTTATTATATGAAACTGTGGGGTGGTTCTGTAGATTTTGATTGGATACTTAGGGATAATTAGAAAAGTACTTTGAAAGGGAAACAGCACTGAAATCTTTTTTTTTCTTTTTAAGTGAACTCAATTTTTTAGAAGAGCCACCCAGTTATAGTGATTAGCATTAACATTTTGGACTTCAAAGTGCTGTCCTTTTGAAGGAGCGGGGGCTGTCGGCAGGTCCCTCTGGGCTTCCATGAGGACTCGCAGCTCCAGTGCAGCAGCCAATGAAGCCCCTGGCCCAACTGCTGCCCGGTGCCCTCCTCCCGGGGGGCTCTGCCCTCTGAGCTCCTCTGAGTGCAAAGCAGGTTGTGAAAACTTCCCAAGATTGCCTTATTTCCACACTCAGCATCTTTGTGCATATTTAACCCACAGCAGAAAATAGCATAA